GAAACTTTGCCAATTGATTCAGAATGTGATTTTAAGTACAAAATTTTATATATAAACATAACCTCAAAACTGAATAATTAAAGAGTTATTGTTAACAAAAGATAAAATTCCTGTTAATTTTAGTATTTGCGTGTGTTAATTCTTAACCTCTTAACTATGGAATTTAATTTGAAAAGTCTCTGATAATACTCGCAATGAAATCAAATAATTAAGTGTATACTCGTCTAACACAGGCCAAATGCACCTATAATGTATTCTAACGAAAAGCTGAAACAAAACGAAGAAGAATTACGTGTTCATCTGAAAAAATGAATAATTTATCGTCGAAAGAATTAGTATCATTTTGATTTTAAAATTATGTGTAAACTCGTCGAATATAGTTAACTGGTTAAAATGATAAATACAATATATATATATATATATATATATATCGATTTATACCATATTGATTACTAGTATTATTAAAGAAATATTAGTGAAATGCTTAAGTGTTAGCAATTTTATAACTATCCATAAACTATTGGAAACTGAGGAAAGTGAATTTCACTTGAAATATTTTCTATTTGCAATTATATTCACAATTTTAAGTGTATTATATTGTTCATAATAAGAACCCGGTTTTCATTCTTTATACCATTTGGCTTTACCAAAGTATACATTAAGTCAAATATATCGCTGTAACTTCTATTGTTGCAAGTTGTTGAAAATTTTTTTAATGTAGATATCTTTAGTAGGATCTAACAAATGCTTTTATACAAAATTCATCGTGATCCCGCGTGACCTAGGTATATACAAACATACATAAGGTGAAAAAAACGGTATAAAATTGAGGTTCACAAAAGGGTAGTTTTAAAAGGGTTGTAATAGGTCTATTTCTTTAAAATGAAACGTATATATACACAAAAGAATGCTCTTTAACACTACATAGTTAGATATGAGATAACTCTTAGTCGTAATCTAAATATAGTAATACAAAGTACGCCAATTTCAAAGAAAATAGAATTTTTCTGGAACAAGTATCTTTCCCATATTCAAAGCTTTCTCAATTAATTTTAGATGATTTCTTACAAATTTTAAGCATATCGTCAGTTTAAAATGTCATGAACTTTAAAAAGGGTTGAAAAATTCAATTTAATCTAGATTTTTATGATTCTAGATTCTTCAAGAATTTCTTGTTTCCGTCGTTTTCTCGATTCTCCGTCATCTCGCGTATAACAACTCTTATTTCAAATTATGCGTATCGAATTGCATAAAAAAAAGACCTATTACCGTGGACATTGAAAAATTACTTTATTCCATATTTGAATTTTTACAAAATATTTTACTGCGCAACATATGACCTGATTTAATGAAAGATCCGAAATCAATGGACATCGGAAAATCGTAAATCTACAATTTCAACCTTTTTCACTCGAAAGTTTTCCATTAGAAATATTCAACGTTTTCAAAAATTCATTCATTTTACAATTGTAATATTGGATTCAATCCAACAAATCTTGCGAACGAAATATTGAAAAAGTAAAACTGAAACGGGTCGTTGAACTTCTAAGTATAATGTTGTAATTTATAACTTTAACTCCTTGCCTTATAATAACGTGTTAGACTCGCGATGAAGATTTTAAATAGAATTTGACAAGCACAACTATTACTTAACTCTTTTCAATTCGAATTAAGTATCATTTCACTGTTATCGATTATTGCACTTTAGAGCAAACATGGACATAGAATGTGCCTAGATTTTTTCTCTTTTTCTCAATAAGTTATTAATGACAAAGTAGTTGTATCAATCATCAGAAATAAATCATATGGCGAGGGGTTAAATAACAACACATACAGTAAAATATAGGATCGTGGTTGTCACATATATGCAACGCTAGTAACAAACTTGTTAATATTATACATATAAAATTTTATAATTTTGCTATATCAAATCAAGTGGTGACTGAGCGTCACCTCTCGAGTGCAAACGGTTAATTTGCATTCTTGCTTAGTCGACGAAAGATAAATGTATGCGAACCTCAGTAATAGTAAAATCTTCATTGCAAATTTATTAATAATTATTTCTTGCCTGATTTCCTTGGCTCATCCCCTAATATTCCATCCACATTCGCCGTTCATTTTTATTCCAGTCTTCTGTTAACCTTTTCGGTCCCAAATAAAAACTTTAAGCAAAAATACATTTATCTTCACAACATACGTTAACACAATTTTTCGCCTCTTTAACACTCTTTGCCGATGAAAATGAAGAAAATCTTAAGCTAATTGCCCCAAATTTCTGACGTTAAAGTAGCGACGAAAATTATAAAATTTGTCTTGAAATATTAAACATGCAACAGAAGTTATTTGTAACGAAAATTATTATATTTGAAAGACGTAAATTCGCGTCAGCGGTCGCGAACGTATTAAGTAACTTATCATTTTTAACGAACATAAATGCATAACATAAAGTTCGCATTTTACTGATATTGAAATATGTGTTTTCAAGGCGATGCTGCCGGGAACTAAAGAGTTAAGCGCCCAGACATCTTACGTTACTAAAGAAAAAGTCATTTTCAATCCGGAATGTGTACGTCGGGACTCTAACGAGCAGGATTAACCCTTTGAACTGAAATGACGAGTCTCACTCGCACGTGCTCTCAGCGCGAAATTGGATTTCACAAATTATTTTACAAACACGCTGTATAAGAATAAAAATAATTTTCTTATTTTCCTAAGTAAAATTGATCGAAATTATCCTTGAAATAGTCGTGTCCACGGGGTTGCGACAAAATTAACCCTCTATAGGCTCGTGTGACTTCAAAGTCACATATCAATATATTGCCAATTTTGTTAATTTATTTCATTTTGCAAAGTGTCGAATTAAATTAAGCAATTATTTAACTCAAATTTTTATACGCTCAATGAAAGTTCAACATCATTGTAATGTCAAAATTACAAGGTGCAATCGTTTTAATACAATTATTAACCCTTTGCGGACGAACGTCAACACTTTACCGAGATCAAACTTACATATTTGGAATACTAAGTTGCAAACAAATGATTTAACTACTCAAACAGCAAAAGAAATCAGTAAGTACATAGTTTCCTTATTTTTTTATTATTTAAGCACTGAATATACAGAAGGTTTTGTATACTTTAAAGAATCTTCGTCCGCAAAGGATTAAAACTTTGTTATTAAATACTTTATTAATTTGTACTTACAGATTGATATTTGTTAATTTTATACTACACACATTTTTGTATAGTTACGAAGAAGAATTCGGCATGTAGGGGGTTAAACGACGTAAGCAGGAACGTTTGATTCAAAATAAATCGTCAGGCGGGGGTTTAATAAAATGCGTCAAGCTCAATAAACGTTTTCTTGCAATGTCATTACAGGGATCTTTGGATTACTTTGTAACACGTTGAAAAAGAGCAAGCCGCCGAGGAAGAGTTGCTCGGGTTATAGTAAATTAATTTAACGAGGCTCCGGTTCAGGAAGGAATTGGGTACTTTCTTCATTTTTATTTGCATTTTATCGTTTCCAATCAGTATCTTGTCTGTGGTCACTGTACTTTACCGTGTTATCTGTTGCCCGCTTATCGTCGCATTTGGTTTCGACTAATAACGTGCCTCGTGTATATCATTTATCGTGCCGTTTGTGTTGAGAAAATCTAGGGTCATTGTCTGTACGAAATATCGACGATAACCCCTTCAAAAGTGTAGAACGTTTTAGAAGAAATTCCAGTGCCTGCTATAGTTTTAATTTATATGTGATCGATTTATCAATGTTCGTACATTAACAAAGAATCTTGTTCCGTACGGAAGTGAAGGGAAATCATAATTAATTTTGTCCACTTTCATTTCAAATTAATGGGAAACCAAATTTCCTTTTATATGATAATCAATGATACATATCGTTTTGCTGCACTTTGTTTCTTATTTTCGAAAATTTCACTATATACATATTTCGACTTATTTGTATCAGTGCTTCGTACAGTCTAATTGTGCAATTAGAAAATAATATAAATACCTTCCGATTACTCTTAATTCTCTGACGATCTTTTTATTTTCGATAACATTAATATAAAAACAATGTTTAATAATTAAAATAATATTTTTCTAGGGGACCAAAATTATTTGATTTTTGAATTGTTTTGGTGGAGGATTACTTTGTTCGACCATTTTTCCCGTATTTTCATTTCCTATATAATGAACGTCATAATGAAAAAAGGAAAGCTTGAGTAAAATTTGAATCCATTTAAAAAAAATGGAATATTTTAGAAATTATTTATTAATATAAATGTATGAAATATTTTTAGAAGTTCGTAATTCAATGTTAGTTAAAATTAAGGCCAATGTCAGTAAGTAAGGGTATGCTTGTTTTACAGTTGAAAATTATTGGTATGAATGTAGCTTCTACAATATTGTTATCTTGTTAATATCACTGTTTCCACGAATTCTATTTAGAAAATTAAAATAGTTAAAGTTGTTTATTAACAGCAATTGGATATTCCTTTTGTATTGTTATTTTTTATTATATTTAACATTTTATCTATGAACAAATGAAACAGGAGAAATGTATGTCAGAATGTTATGTCATACAAACTCAGATTATAAAAAACTAAATAGAATAAATATAAAGCGGTTATTTGAATATATCTGAAATATATTAAAAGTTCGGAAGAAATTAAAACAAAATGCCAACATAAAAGAGACCTAAACTATTTTACACTGTACCCGAATATGTTAATAAATTTTATATTTACAGAATTGTAGCTTATTTCCACAAAACTTACCCCAATAATTACTTCAAATATAGAATCAAATACTATTGCATAGCATCAAACAAATATAATCAAAAATAACAAAATTGAATTCCAAATAATTAAATAAAACGGATGTCCATTCCTCGCAATAATCTAAACAAAATCTTAAATACTTTCACTAATTAGCATTGCTTAAATAGTGTGCATTAATCGTATTAAAAATTATATAAGTATATCTTTTTATTTTTGCAGTGAAAGCAGCATGTTCCTCTCAAAGCGTAGGCTTATTTTGAAAACATGTGGTACAACTACACCCCTTCAGTGCTTGGAGCCACTTTTGGAGCTTGTAAAAGAATATACTGGCTTTGAGGAAGTAGAAGTATATATCGTTTTTATTATTCTCTATTTAAATATTTTACATATTAAAAGGACACTTTCTTCATGATTTTATATATTATAAATCTGACTTTATATTGTTTATTTTATTGCATCACATATGAAACATTTTATTTTGCATAGATTACATAACATTTTTGAAAAAGAATTTATTAATGATTACTAGTAAATATTACCTACACCTATTACTATTCTGAATCCAATAAGGCATATAGATAGTTTGGTATTACAGTTTCACAATTTTTACTCACAGAAATTTTCATTAACTGCAAGCCAATTGAAGTCAAAAGTACTTAGCTATATAACTTGACCTAGTGCATGGATAAGTGATGTGTCTATATATAGGAAAGCTCTAGTATACAGGATACATCTCTACCTCTTGGTTTATTGATCTCTCTTACCTATGATACTGTACATGGAATACATTTGTCTAAAATCACTTCTAATTGTTTCTTACCCCACTCTATCTATTATAATGTATGTTTTACTCACTTTTATCAACATTTATGCATCATTAAATGAACAATATTGATTTAATCAACAGCATATGAAAAAAGAAATAGAAAAACGAATTTAATTTCATAAAACGTTCCATTTGTTTTAGAATGTATTCTACTCACGGAAAAATTACAAGAAACCAGAGTTACAAATATCCCCCCATCAAGCATTCGAAAAAGAAGTTGCTGTGCTTGATACGTTTTTCCCTGGTAATTATATTTTTATTTGTCTCCAAGTCTGCATGGTTCGAGATATACAATACTGCAATATTGAACTTTTTGTACTTTTTCTCTTTCAGATGGAGAAGCTTATTGTTTGGGCTCTGTAGATTCAGATTGTTGGTATTTATATACCCTAAATAGGGAAAAACTTATAGACGAACCTGCAGAACCAGACCAAACTCTGGAAATCCTCATGACACATTTAGATCCAGAAGTAATGGCTATCTTTACTAGGGATGTGTGTTCCTCGGCAGACGAAGCGACTCAAAAATCAGGAATTGATAAACTTATTCCAAACATGATTATAGACGATTTCTTGTTTGAACCCTGCGGATATTCAATGAACGGAATAAATAAAAGTGTAAGTGTGTCTGTATATATGTGTATATTCATATAATATATATATTAAATTTTATAGTTTAATAATTGTATAGCTTTATAGTTTTTCTATAACGTTAGACGTAATCAATTCGTATATTTTACAGGGAAATTATATGACTATCCACATTACTCCAGAGTCGGAATTCTCGTATGTATCATTTGAGAGTAACATTCCAGAAACGTCGTATGAGGAGATAATACGACGTGTGCTGAATACTTTTAAACCGAAAAAATTTGTTGTTACCATCTTCGCTAACAAAGAATCTGTAGCTGCTAGTTGTCCACGTGACCTGGAGCAAACCGACTATATGAAATGTTCTAGCGAATGGTTACGCACGGATGTTCAATATTGCCGTTTCAAGAATTATGATTTGACCTGTGCATTTTATTCAAGATTCCCAAGCTGAGGGTTCATGGACGCTTCATTCGGTCCTAACCAATTAGGACCAAATGAAGCGCATACCAACGCCCCTGTCCTTTCCCAGAGCTTTTCTTCTATTCCCGATTCCATAAATGAGACAAAGAAACAAAATGAATCTACAAAACGTACATTAAAATTTGATATTGCTTACAAAAAACGTGATCTTGTATCTACTCAGTATATAAAACATAATAATGAAACAAAATCTAATGAGTGCACTATACAGAATTCTATGATTACCCGAGAAACAACTATGTCAAATATTGCAAAACCTATAAGACCACTTACATCCGCTCCTTACTGCATCAATCCTGATATATCCGTAAAGAATAAGTGCTTGAAAATAGACGGTAACGATTATCAATTTACACAAAACAACATGGATATTTATAAAGATAGTAATTCCCGCTCTATACGATCAGTGTCCTCGCCGCAATTAACAACTAAACCCCTTACACGATCGAAAGTTTATAGAAAAGCATCGTTAAAGTCAATGAACTTATCTAATTCTACGTTAGACAACTCTGCATCGAATCATTGTAGAAGTATCGGCTTGGCATCGGATAATCGAATAATTAACACTTCTAACTGTTCTATCACCTTCACAGATAAAAAGGTACCTTTTTCATATCATTCTGCGACCACGCAAAGAAATGATTCAAACGATTCCCGGAACAAGTGGAATATGGGAGAAGTACATATTACTTGTAATCCACTGTCGACACCGTATCCATATTCCACGCCTCACCGTAACATCATAAACGAAACTGTAACAGAGCCACTAGAGGAAGAACCAAAAAGTCGCAGCTGCGGAAGTTTTTTACCAATCTTATCGTTGATACCACAAACAGTAATCAGTTTTCAGTATTTAAGCCCGAAAATGAAATTCTCTTGGTGGAGAAATAAAATCTCGTGAAGGTACGCTTAAATTGACCATTTAGCGCGTGTGTTGCTAGTGGTCTTGTAGCGCAAATTAAATGCTATTTGGTCAAGCTCTACGAAAACCTCTTACCTCGTAGTGAGTTCCCAATCTTCATCAATTAGAGGTATCCTGATCATCGTTACACGTGTCTATCAATCAGTCTATGCCCTTTTAATACTACAAAGTAGGGTCGTACGGAAAGAACGCATGCAGTTAGATCTTAAACGAAATATAAGTAGAATTCCTTCATTCTGTGGAAATGTTTTGCATAATGTGAAACGACTTTAAGTCCCTTGGAAATAATGTCTATATTGTACATTACAGTTCTCTGGGATCCTCTAGTCTATGAAGTGTTTTCCTAAACTTTCATAATTTATGAGTAGATTGAAGCAAGTACCTTTTGCTCCGTACAGAAGGGGTCTCTTACCATTTTGTCTACTTATAGCAATATTCTTAGAGATTCATTATGATAAAAATCAAAATTAAAATTACAGTATGGATCCAATGAGTTATACCAATCATAATGTAATTCTTTTAAATTTATGTTTCTATTGTAAATTACTTTTTCCTAAGAGAAAGTGTGCCTATTTTCAAATATATTTGGCCATAAATTAAATAGTTAGGAATTATTTAAACATGATTTCCTTGTTGTAATCTCTTATTAAACGGTTCCTCTTTTTCTAATTTAATGTACTTAAAAAAAAGAAACTTACTGATCCATACTATCAGATGATACTAGAATTTTTTAAATGTACATCAAAATATGATTAAAATATTCCATGTGAATAACTACTCTATGTGATATTATTAAAAATATGGAGAAGAATACACCAGTTGGTGTTGTACAATGTTAAGAATTTAGATTAATTCTTCATGAATCTTTTGTCGAATTCCTTATTAAATTAATTTCAATTCATTTTATGAAATGGATGATGCATTAAAGTAGTTAAGGCACTATGATTAATTAAATCATTCCTATATGCGTGCGTGTAAAGTATACGTGCGAGCGTTGTGTACATGACAAGTCATATTTCCTCTACAACTTTTATTTCTCTATGAGAAATAATATTGTTTAATATAATTTATGTTTACAAGGAATTTATATTACAGAAACTTGAAAGAATTTATTTTTTATTACGCTTATTTTCTTGGATTTTCAAACATTTTTAGAAGCATTGAATTTTTTTTGTTATCACTTCACATTCTTGTTTATTTCCACTTTGATGCTCTCTGTGTAAAAATCTCGTTATAAACTTATATTTGATTCCGTTTGGCGATTACAAGTGCTCATTTTATATTTACCGAGTAATAAATGTTTTTTATAAATATTTGTATTTCATTGTGTTTCATTTCACAATATTTCCAAAAATTTATTATTTCGTAAATACAATAAATAACATTTTATATGTGAAAATGCGTAAATCGCAAGAATACTTCTTTTTTTAATAAAAAGGGAAAGAGAAAAGAAAGAAAGAAAGAAAGAAGGAAAGAAAGGAAGAAAGAAAGAAAGAAAGGGAGAGACAATAAGAAACGTAATTTATCTACAAATTTTGTTTCTTATATGTATTATAATTGTAATGATGGTGTTAAAAATTTAACATCGTTTGAAGACAAATACAGCAGTGCTCTATTAATCATTAATAACAACGTGAAGTTTGTACTGTGATTTTTTCTTGTCGTAAGCAAAGTTTCATTTAAAATTGCTAGTTTGTAAACTATTATTTTATTTAATAATAGTGGCAAATCTGCACTTTTAACAGTACTAAACAGATAATAACATAAATAATTAAAACGTAATGCGGTAGGTAATGTACATCATAGTCCCATTAAGTGCTTTCCAAAATATATTATCCTTTGGTGTAGATTATTGTTGCATGTAAAGTAACTTGATTTCTGTATTATACTCATCAAATAAAGATTATATTTAGTCAATTAATACTGTGTAGAGTTTACTTATTATGTTTAAAATGTTATATTTCTATAAAACATGCTTAAAATTTCATAGACAATTTTAAATGGAGAGTACACCAATTTTTAACTGTACTATTATTTCAGAAAATTCATTACCGAATATAAACAAATATGAAAATATAATTTTTGCTATTATTTTTACAAAAATATGTAACGATCTGCATAATTTATTAAATTATATCGTCAGCTTTAGTATATTCTTGTTTATTAAAATGAATTATACTAAACATTGCATTGAATCTTGATCGTAATCCGTGTTGTATACTTTTATGAGTTTTTTCTTGATGTTCTTTCTGCACTTCATGAGTTTCCGTATCAAATTTATTTTGAATTTTATTTAATGCTAATAAAAAAGTAACATATGTATTAGAATTAGATAATAAAGTAAAAATATTAAACTTTTATTTTAAATAGTTTCTTTACCTTTCTTCAAATCCATTTCATCCATTTCTATATTACTGATTTTAGATAATTCATGTCTGAAACTTTTTGTGATTTTTTTTCGAATATAATCAGCTTCTATTTCTTGCTTGGTCCGTGGTACTCTGAAGCGAATGCAACAACAGAGAGCAATTAACACGCTAAGTAAAACAGAAAGAATAATACCAGCAAGTTGCCAAACACGAAATCCCGGTAGCGCTTCATCTTCTAACCACTGTTCAACACCACCTTCAACACAATCTCCTGGACGTATAGCTATTTCATTAGGTGAACACGGTGAAAAAGATGACGAAGGCAAAAGTGATGCGATAGTTGACTCATCCATTTCTTTCATAATGTGACAACTCTGAAAATCCTTTGTTATTTTATTAAATTTATAAAACGAATCTTTTATACGTGTAATCTTACTCAAGAAGTATTACTCGTGTTTTCCATAATACTAATAATTATTTACATAAATATTTTTTTTTTAATCCGTATAAAAGTACGATTTTAGGAAATCGAAACTATATACAATAATGTACGTTCTTTGTATCTAAAATAAAAGTAACTGATAATACATGTCATTTAAAATTTGGTACACGATAAGTTCAAATTAATTGCAAAGTAAATATAAATATTGCAAAGTAAATATAAATATTTTGAAAATTAATCTAAATATTTTATACATTTTTCAATACTTACATATCATCAAAAATATAATGAAATATTCACTACCGTTGAAGACTCCAATTTCTTTCACTTAATATAAAAACTGATTACATCAAAGGTTTAGAAATTTTGATACATTCTGGTTGAGAGAATGCTTGTAACTGAAACCCTAACAGGCACACTATGTGGCTCTATATCTTTTGTGCCTGTGCTAAATAAAAGGGTGTGGTTATTAATGAATACTTGTGTCTGGCACTCCCTAGTTTACACCTCAATCTGATTTTCCAACCCTTGTAACCATTTACTAATTACAAATCAATAATGCAAAACCCCACTGTTTCTAAATCAATTTTAGCCATTAATACAAACGAAGGTTATATAATTATAGTGTCTATTATATAGAAGTAATACTTTTATTATCTTACAATAATTATACGTTAATAAGAGAGTATAGACAATAAAAATAATTTATCAAAATTCACAATGCTGTGTTAAACACATAACTGATACATTAATTATATTAATTCGTAAATCCCACGTATTACTGCGTATTTTGAGTGTTTGTCACTATACGTGGATTTCAGTAAAAAATAATGCTTCGAATAAAATTAGTCAATATAATTGTATTAAATGAAATAGAATGTGAAATCGTACATACTTTGATGGTAATGATCACTATTAAGTTGATTAACATAATTGTTCACATACGGACATAACGAAACAGAAAATACTTAACATCATTTAAAGACTATGAATTCCCTGATTTCTTTGTAGACTCTATGCATTCTTGCAGCATTACTTTAAGAACTTTAATATAAAATAACTTTTGAATCATGCATTGCCTTGCTGCATACATAACATATCTTAGATATGTCTACAGCAGTGTAGACTTTTTTCTAAAGAACATTGTACTGTTCGAAGTTAATGGTGTGGTAAAACTTGAAGATAGGAAGCTCTTGACTCATTAATCTTATGAGTTAGAATCCTCCATTACAAAGAATATTTTTTGCCAGAAAATCAAAGAATTTCTAGCAAATCTATAAGATAAATGAAGATTTTGTCATTTATCCTTTATCAAAACAATGTTATGAATGGAATATGTTTAAGTTCATTCCTTCCTGATAAATGTTCGACCCCTGTAAAATATAATGCAACTATTTGTATAATACTGACAAATATATATTACATAGATAATGATATGAAATCAACTTACGTAATTGTTTTCTTTTCAGTATTCTTAGACTGCGATCTTGCCCGATTTAATACCTTCAAGAAGTCTGTCGTTTTGGTACGCATTCTTGAGTGAATGTAAACTTTACTGCACTTAATGTGATAGTGCAAATAATTTCTGAACATGTGTATTAAATCAATGGTATTATCACGAGCCTCTTTATTTGTG